GGGTCCCGCTCTGTCTTCCCTGGTGTTGTGCCTACAGGCAGTCTACTGGCTGGCCCACCAGGCGATGCAGCATGACGCTGTCCGCGGGCCCTGGGAGGGGCTGCTGATGCCCGGCAGGCCGCTCTGCGAACCCGGGTCGGGCGGCCAGGAGCAGGCAGCCAGTCAGCAAGTGCCAGGTTTCGGCAGCTCTGGAGCCGCGAGCAGCCAAGCGCAGCTGGCCAGCACTGCGGGCGGCGAGGAGGGTTCGGGTGGCGGGATGGCAGATGACCTAGCCGGCCAAGGTGCACAGTTGGCGCCACACCCGGGTGTCATTCGGCGGTGGGTGCAGCTGCCACCTCAGCTGCTGGCCAGCACCTTCCGGCCGATCGGCAGTGGTGTGTGCGGCGCCGTCTACAAGGGCTGGTGAGCCGCAATAATGTCAAAACCTGGATGATGCGTTTCGGTGCACAAGGCACACAACTGCATTGAAGCTTCTTTGTCCTGCTTGATCTTTCCAAGTTGCCAACAACGCATCATAAAGCTGCTTCGCACCTCACACACAGTCTGGGACCTGTTGGCCACTGTGGTAAGCAACAGCTGACCGCTTGCTGCCTGCTGTGCGTCGCTGATCCGGTTGTCCACAGGTGGCATGCAGGCCCCGCGCCCATCAGCGTCGCCGTCAAAGCGGCCTTGGCGCCCGGGGCCCAGCAGCTGCTGCGGCGCGAGGCGGCGATGTACGACCTCCTGCAGGGCGCCCAGGGCTTGGCCACCCCGCGCCTGGTCGGCCACGGCCCCGGCGTCGGCGGCCGCGGCTACTTTCTGGCCACGGAACTCGTCGACGGGCGACCGTTGAATCGCGGCGGCGAGGACCAGGCGGTGTGTGATGCCGCACTCGCGGCGTTGAGGGTGGTGCACGCGGCGGGCGTGGCGCACGGCGACCTGCGCGCCAGCAACATTGTCGTTCAGGGCAGCAGGGTGTGGCTGATCGACTTCACACACGCGGAGGAAGATGCGGACGGTGATACCCTTGTTTGGGAGGAGCAGCTGCTGCTGGAGCTGCTTGCGCCGGCCAGGGGTGCTGCGGGCAGCAGCCGGGCAAACACGTTGTGATCAGGCAGTCCATGGGTGTTTAAGCGGCCGTGTAAACGCCAGGCAGGCTGCATAGATGGGGGCTGATGGTGTGGCTGACCCGACAAGGGGGCTGCGGGCAGGCTATTTAGTAGGAATGGGGTTTGAGGCATGTGTGCAGTCATCATGTGGCTTGCTGCAGGCAATTAATCAACTTTGAAGGGTGGGTGTAGCGTTCAGGGTCGAGCCCTCATCCTGCCTACCACAAAATATTGACGATGTGAATGTTTATGCGATTTCCACCTTCCTTCAGCTGATAGCCCCCCGCCCCCCCCCCTGAATGCACCTGAGCAGCGCGACCCAACCCTGCAGTCTGAGTCGCAAGGCGTGGCCACAGTTTTTTTTGACTGGATGCGACATTGATGTCGCAGTCACCATGCATTCCCCAGTACTATCTTGCTGCGTTTGTTGACCCGTCAAACCTTGCCATTTGAATAGCCAAGGCTCTTTGGTTGCAGCCGTTGCGCCAGCGGCAGCTCCCTCATCGCAACTCGCCGCCCTCCGGCTCCGTGGTGCCGGTGGTTTGCGCCCCGGCTCTAGCGCGGTGCCCACCCCACCGCGGTTGGTGCCGCCCTGGACCCCCACCCGGCCGTTGAGCAGGGTCTAGGCCAGCGAATACATGATTGCGAGGGGAGCGCCATCTGCATGCGAGCAGAGCGGCAGACTGTCCTGGCCGGCCCCAGGGCGCCACAGGGCAGCAGCGGCAGAGCCCTGCGTGCCCTGAGCCTTACGCGAGCATCGAGCTGGGACTGCTGCGGTTGTAGGTAATCGTGGCTAGGACCCTCACCGTTACACAGGAGAAGTTAACGTGTGCAGACAAGGCCCGATTAGGGCCCACGCTAGTGGTGGGGGGGGAAGCCCATTGCGGCTTGCCGCCGTGCCGACAGGATCGGAGCGCCGCCAGCAGCGGGCGGGGCAGGCGCGCGCGCCACGTGCGCAAACAATGCCGGACAACCAGTGCCCTAGAGAAAGCAGAGTGCAAAGCATCGGCGGTGCCAGCCCGGGCCTGCCGGGGGTGCCAGGAGGGGTCGGGGGTGCCGATATTGGGAGGAGGGGACAGCTGCGGCGGTGCTACAAAGTGACGTCATCCTGGGGGACGGCAGTAGGGGCGTTGGGTTGAGGGAAGGGAAGGAAAGAGGCCGAGGCAAAGGGTGCGCGTGACTCCGCAGCAGCAACCATCCAAGAAAATGCCCCGGATGCAAGCCAGCCACCGCCGCCCGCCGGAGCGCGGGGCCCCGTCGTCGTCGCGCAGCGCGCGGGCAGCGCTTCCAAGGCGGCCACGGCGCCGGCCGTCTCGGCGGGGGCCGACCGCGGCGGCGCAAGCGCCAAAGGGAGGCCCAGCTTCAAGTCCTGCGCCTCAACCCCCGGCGCCCCCACCCCAGCACGCCGCCGACCTTAACAACACATAGAAGCCGGGACGCGCGGCAGGCGCGGGCGGCCGTTTCACGGGGGCAGTGACATCACCGCGGCGCGGAGTGACGTCGTCACAGCACGAGCAGGCCCTTCTTCCAGAGGATGACCACGAAGGATACGAAGAAGACGAAAGCGCCGGCGGTCGACACACCAGTCACCAGGTTGAAATAGACGGGCTCCTCCTGCCGGGGCGCGTCGGTGCGGCGGCGTCCCGCGCGCGGTTTCGGGGGTGGTGAGCGTTCATATGTGTAAGTGAGGGTGGTGTTGGGGGTCGGCGGATACTTGGTTGGAGATTTTGCTGTGTCTGCGTCCGAAGGTGAAAGGAGGGGACAGCCGCCTATGTGGCTCGTCCCCCAAGCTTCATGCTCACATTCCGAGCCCAACACGGCTCCCACCTTCAGTCCGCACCCACGCCCCCCTCCTCCCCGCATCCTAAAGAGCGGCATCCTGCATGACATCACTATGACGTCACCACAACGCCACCGTGACATCGTCACCGCCTCACCTGTATGTACGAGTTGAGGTTCATCCCGAAGTAGCCCGCGACTGACGTCATCATGGCGAGTGACGCCGTGAAGGCCGTGAGGATGAGGTCGATCCCGATC